TTCCACAGAATGATCTTGCTAAAATTACACAAGGGAATTATAGGGACCATAAATATGTTTTGCTAAGTTGATAAAATAGTGAGACCCCTAAATTATTTCCTGTATTTATAACTACAATTCGTAAGAACTTATGAACTTTTCGCTTTGGATCTGAGTCTCCTACAAGTAATACAATTTGAATATATAGGAAAATAGAATGTCGACTCAGTTGGACATTTCACCAACAGTTAAATAATGTCAAACATTGTGGGATCCACAGTATCAGTCTACTATATCCTTTGGAATAGAGCTCTAGGTAGTTATCAGTTTCAATACCAGGTGGCTAAATCGGGGAAATTACATGGCAGGGTATTACAAAGTTCCCTTAAAGGAATATTCCTTGCCAGACCCTTTCTCTCTTGATATGGTAGCTATAATCATATATATAGTTTCCATAGTTAGCAAAACATGGGAAAATGTTTTAATATGGTCAATATTGATCATTTAAAAATCTAGTGCTTATTTCCAGTGAGCTGCCATCTTTTAAGATTTCTTGCAGGAAGTGGTGTCATCAACTCTCAACTTCTATAACCTTGCCCATAACAGTATAGGAAAGTAGCACAAAATCACTTCTAGACAAGTGATCATTACTTTCTGTGCAAAAATATTTTCATGGCTTGTCAACTTAGAATAAAATAAGAGATTTTAAGAAGGATTAAATAAGATACAAAGTTGAAAAAGAATATTTAGCTGGTTTTGTAATTCTTAATAGCTCCTCACCTAATGCTATATGCAAAGTTGAGAGTCGATGACATCACTTCCTGTGTGAAATTTTAAAAGATGGCAGCTTACTGGAATTGAGCATCACATTTCTAAGTGATCAAATTTGACCATATCAAAACATTTTTGCGTGTTTTGCTAAACATGGCAAGCATATATATGGTTATAGCTACCATATGAGGAGAGATATGGTTTGGCAAGGAATATTCCTTTAAACTTGAATATTCATCAGTTTTAGTGGTTCACTTTTCATATTACCCGTATGTATCTGATATTTATACAAAATTATCTATATGTCCAGTAAAAGAAAATATTATCTGTCAAACACAAGATATTACACTTTTTGTGATTTTACAATATGGGGTCTATGGGGAATCTCCCCGGCCTAGATGTTACATTTTCAAAGTTTCAAACTCTTTTCATAACCACATTTCTAGTTCATCAAAGTATTAGCAGAGCACACTTTTTATTTACCAAACCAGAAGGGGCTCAGAAGCAATTCAAGATATACAAATGTCATTCGTGTATAATATGAATATATTTTTCCATATATTTTACTCAGTTTTAAAACAGTGAAATGGATTTTAATGATTTATGGCAGAATATTAAAAATGAAATGTTACTCAGTGGTACACTCCCCTCCAAAAGTTTAGCAACCTTAGCTCCTTCATTTAACTACGTGTTAAAGGTGTTTGAATTTTCGTTTATATGATCTGTGAGGAAAATACTTATAATATAAAAACCAATGGGAAATGGTGGCTAAGGGGCAAATCTTATTTCAGGATATCCATCCAGAGTAAAAGATTCACCAACAATATATACGCTAAGTGTTCAGTTAACTGATGAATATTCTGTCATATGACTTGCGGCAAACCTACCATTTCCCATTGGTTAACATGGGAATGTCGATTTTCAAAAATTCATCAAATTTATCATCAACTTTCGACTTATTGTAATTGAAGGGAAAAAATGTGAAATGAAGTCCAGTTACTTTTCCATCAATATTTTAAGTATTTTCCTCGCAGGTTACGTAAATAAAAATTCAAACATAGAGGCACCACGTAGTTCAACGAGGGAGCTAAGGTTGCCAAAATTTTGGAGCAATTACACGTACTGTATGAGTGGTTTGAATAACTAATGCTAAAGTATGATATAATAGAACTATGTTTTTTAGAAATAAAATAGGTTAAACTGTTAAACTGGAATATCAACAAAATAAATCGTACCTTTATGTCAAATCTCTGTCTGACTGGCACAAAAAACACTACTGATAATTTCCGCTTAAAATCTCGGAGCCTGAGGACCGAGTAGATTCAGACATTCATATACAACGGTTCCACTCACCCAGTGCAACAGATATTGATAAAAAAAAGTAGGACGATATTCCATCGGGGACAATAAAACTCTGCTACACCTGATTTGCTTCCTCTTCGGTGAACAACATCCTAGTGAGGGATTTAGTAATAAAAAGCTAAACTGAAAATAAAAATTCCAAGACTTTAATTATTTTTATGCCATAGGTAAAATCTCTGGACAGTTATATCCAATAAAAACTACCGGGTGAGTCATATTGCAACATATTAAAATATAATCCTCTGAAAAAGACGCACGATAGAACTGTGGCAAGTATTGGCCTACCCGCCCCCCCCCCCCCCCCCTAAAAAATTGGTAGCCCGACTCCCCATTTGAAAACGTGTTAATTTTCCACGATTACAATTTGAAATTCGGCAAACATAGGCAGACTTAAACACATTGTTCAATGATGAAGTTTGGGATAATCGATCTTGATGGAAGTGTATCGCAGCCTTTAGAATTATTAATAAAAGTCTTGACGTATCAATTCAAAAATGGGTGTCGACTTTTGGCTTGCAACCGAAGATACCTCAAGAAAAGCCGGAGATTGCCGAAGATTTTCTTTGCAAACGAAGTTGCCCGAGGGTACCACGAATGTGAAGAGGACGTCTCTAATTGGTCAAAAAGAGAGGCTCGGCATTCTCCGTCAGATTGAATCGGCAAAATTCGGTTGTATGGCTTACCTCCGGTTGTATGGCTTACCCTCGGCTGCATGGCCCAACCTCGATTGAATGGAAAAGATGCTGTCCCATTCAAAAATATCGATATATAATTCAATCATTGCAAAACGTGTACACAAAACTGCATACAAAAAGTTAAATCTCATTGATAGTAAAATTGTTTAATGACTGTTTATTATGCAATATATTCACTGTGCAAGACAGCAATTTATCGTAATTTAGGAGTCTGTACTTAGTTGCAATAAATTCCGACCAACATTATTTGCTGTTTATCTTCTTATTTGTGGATAACGAATTGATTTAAATACACATTTACCCGGCAACATACAACATCTGGCATACAACAAATATTGTATAAATAGTACTTCTACTTTTGCTACATTTATCTTAGTTCTGTTCTGTTCTCCAACTTGCTGTTTTTGTTTGCAAATATTCTTCTGGATATTTTCGAAGACTTTTCTGGAGCGGCAAAATTACAATAAAATATCTCAAAATATCGAACAAATGTGCCTTCTTCATGCCGCTCTATCTTCCTTAAACGCACGCTTTTGGGACATAGATATGCGGAATCAAAAAGTTGACTTGATGTAGTAGGCTTTATATTCTATATAATGAAGTGAACCAAAGGCTTTCTTCCCAAAGTCGAAAAAGTGGCTTGAGATGACTTGTCACCAATGGAGCGGGCATATGAAAATAAATCTATATACTGTACAACAGTGGCCATGATTTCGGTAGGAATTATATCTAGAAAATTGGCATTGTTCTATTTCAACTTTTTTTTTGTTGTTTGGAACAACCTAAACCTAGCAGGGTACGACGTTCATGTTTACGTTCATAATCGATGATTCTATACTCCTATCATATCCGGCTGTAGAGAAGATACAATTAATTCTCATGATCAGTTGCATGACATGTTTGGATCGTAATAATTTTCTTATAAGATTTTAATTATAAAGATGTCAATTTTCACTGACACCGATTATGCAATGTCAATGAAAATTACACGCATCTGAGACAACAACTCTTCCCGATTTTGAAGGATAACAAGGATCCGAAACCAAATTACTCCGATGCCACTTTTGTACTCTACAGGGTGGTCCAAAAAAAATTGGAACATTTCTTAATTGAACGCAAAACCTTTATTTTTCCTCTAAAATGCACCAAAATTTTACTGAGCATAGGTCAGTCACTTATTTATCTGATGTGAAGTTTATAGGTGAAAACCACAAAGTTAATACATTAAACTAGTCAATGTTTCATAGGACCCCCTTTTCTTAAATATACACTTGTCAATTTCGCCACTACTTTTTCAAGTATCCTTTATTTCAAAGCTTTAATGAACATGTTAATTGCTATACACATTTTATAAAATCATATTCAGTTGACGAAAGGTATTTATATCTATGGTTTACTAGAAAACTACTGTGTTATTGTCAACTAAAGAATACCCAAAATCTTTATTTTTATTTAAGAGTAGGAAAGAAAGAACACGTCAGAGGTGAGCGATTGCATGACCCGTACAGCTACTAAAGTGACAAAATCATTGTTTCCATTTTTCAGTAAAGAGGAAACTGACCAGTTATTTTTAAGGCTTTATTAAAGACCAACTCTAAGCATATATAATATTTCATACCCCTTTATGATATTGATTTACATATATTGATATATTCAATGAATATTATTCAAATTAGAACAAGAAAGGGGATGGGGCTTCATTTACCAGTCAAACGGACTGCCCTAGTCTCTTTCTTGAGAATTTTCAATCAGTAATACACCCAGCAATAGCTATCAAAATATGCTTGATACTCAACAATATAGGTGAAAAAATGTTGAATATGTTACTAGATTTGATCTTCCGAGGCAAACATATAAGAAATTTGGTCAAGCTGAATTTTTTTAATCAAGATTGCTTGGACAAAAACAAAGAAACAGCAAACTGAATGAACAATTCAAAATGGAGTCCCAGGCCTGAGCTTGTAATTCAAGAGAAGAGGGGTCATATCAAACATTGTCTAGTTTAATGCATTAACTTTGTTGTTTGGACCTATAAACTTTACATCAGATATATAAGTGACTGAACAATACTCAGTAAAATTTTGGTACATTTTAGAGGAAGAATAACGATTTTGAGTTCAATTATCAAATGTTCCAATTTTTTTTGGACCACCCTGTAGATGTCAGAAGCGAGTGAAGTAAATTTTTTCTTACCTAAAATAGTAAATACTCCATGCTTGTTTTTTCCGATGTGATAATTGCCTTGATAAGTCGCGAGTAAGAGATTCTGTATTCAAAACTCAAAGTACGCCTATGATCTTCAACAGCTCTGAAATCTGCATTACTTTGGATCACAAGCTGATCCTTAATTTATTCTTTCTTAGAATGCGCTAATAAGACTATTGTTGCATTGACCGTAGCCTAATCTTTAAAACCTCATTTGTCAGTATACAATTATGATTTAATCACTGTGATATCGGTTTGTAATTACATGCTGGAGACTCGCTAGAAATAACAAAAAGTGTTTCTTTCATCAATGAACGGTGGCAGATTAGGAAACCCGAGAGCAATGTACTATGATGTTTTTATTGAACATATCTTTAAGTAGTGTGGATCAGAGAAGGTTAAAGCAAAACTTTCACAGGAAGTCTTTCTTCTTTTTAATGAAAAAGAGCGTGTTTTCTTTAATTGCTTTTAAATATGGCACAAAGGAGAATCTTTTGATCAAAAACAATGATATGTGGAACAATGTAAACACAATGAAGTGCGTATGTGAGGCCCGTGGCCAGGGAGGGGCTCGGGGGCTCAGTCGTGTGAGATATCCAGATATCCAGATATCTCCTAAAAATAATGGACCTACCTTTTTTGCTTAGTTCTTGAAGGATTTTTTTTCATTTCGAGGTAGAAGGTAAAATTTGGTAAAACATATAGTACGGAGCATTTTCATGTGATATTGCCAATTTTACTTTCTGAACATTCCAAATTGACTAGACTAGTAAAAGCTATCAAACAATGATTCGTTTGTTGTATTGAAATTAAATGTTCGTTTTTATCGATAGTGTGTGTTTTAAGTCCAAAACCTTACAATGTCTCACTGGCCGACATGAGGGGGTTATGCCTCCCCCCTCCCCTCCCCTGGTCTAACTACAGAATAGGCGTAGCTATATACAGTATAGGCGGAATAGACAGCCGCGTATTAAGAGTCAAGACAAAAATGTAAATTGAAATAAATCATGATTCTTGAACCATTCAGAACGCGCAAAATAAGCCCAAAAAATCAATTTTAAAATAATCAATCATGAATATATTTTGATCCTAGAATCACTCAGAACGCGCTTAATCAGCCCAAAGATCCTACATTTTCCGGACCCCCTAGTTTTGGTCAGCCTACGGCCTCGCGTACTAACACTACTAATCCTGGCTCAGCTATCACACATCGTGTATTATTTGACTAGTCATAATTTGGCTCGAGTTTTGTTCCTACGTAATATGGGCATTTTTCAAAAAATAATGGGCAATATTTTTCAAAATTATGGCCTTAATTTTCTTCCGATCCCTCTCCATCATTTTTTCATTTTTGGGCTCACCCTGGTAATAACAATTGCGAATTTGGTTAAGCATAAAAATTGTGTGTGAGTAAATCTCTCCAATTATTACATTCGACAACATTGGCATATTCATTGAAAGGATTGGTTCAAACATTTCGCATTCTAAATCCTTTGATGCTACTTTAAAATAATATGAACCATAGTTATTGGCATGGTTTTTTTCTGAATGTCAGTTTCATTTAACGATGACGGCTTTGAGCATAACGCACGAGTAAACAATGAGTTCATGCGAACCGAACCCAGGACCTCTTGATTGCATCTGTCGTCTGCCACCGCCCTTGACCACTCGGCCAAATCCACAATCCCCAAGATGTTTATTTTATCATGTTTATGCACTTGATACGACATACGATTTACAATAATTATTGCGAATTCAATGCCGTCATATATCATCATATCATATATTGATATCAGGGCCTTACCGATTTCTGGTAATATTTAGAACTAACCCCCTCCCTGTAGTCTAGTTGGTATCTCACTTGAAGTACGCTGTCACACGATCTAATTACAGAACGGTATGGTCGCCATCAACTTTTGAAGTGATGAAAATTCTAAATCACCTTCCCGCCCGAGCGCGTCCATGAATTTTGTAAATAAACCGTAGAAAGTCACAGCTACATTCATTCCATTTTCACAGTTTTAACCAGTTTGCAATTAGTTCTACTTCGTTCTCAATACATCCAGAGACAGTTCAACTCGTTCTTAAAATGTCCCCAGTAGGATTGAAGTACTGCAATTCCGTTCGTAGTACGTCCAGCTGGTTTTAACACGTCACTGTACGTTGTCACTCGTTCTGACAGAACGTGACGACCACCACATGCTCTTAGTTCTGGAGGACCTACCCATTCGTCGAGTACGTTCGTGAAGTTTGTAAAAAAAAACTCAAACGGTTTTAAGTACGTACAATCCGTTCGGACAGTTTAAGACCGTTTTCAAGAACGTACAGGGTGTCCAAAAAAAACAGGACCGTAAGAAAGTTGAATAACTCGGTCAGAATTATTTAGTTCATTCAATGTGAATTTTGTTGTGAAAGTTTGATAATAATCTACCTATTGAGTCAAAAACTACAGCTCCTTACAAAACATGCCCCAAATGTGCAAATCTCATCTCTATGCACAATTCAATCCGGTGAACAAAGCTGTTGATGATCCTCCTACACACATGTTTTTCTGAATGGACAACAATTGCTACTGGGGCTTACATCCCCCTGATGAAGTGTTAAAGCATCCTTTGCATTCTGAACAATGCACTCCCTGGGTGGCAATGAGGAAACATGATATCATCAGTCCCTTTTGGTTCGAAGGTGACTGGGGACTTGCTATCACCATGAACAAGGACCAGTAAGTTCTCACCAAGTTTTGGAGGTCACTAAGCACCAGAAGGGACATCTAAGGAGATAATTAAGCAGTGGTTTTAACAAGCCAATACCACCCCAACACTGCAAATGATATGCTGAAATGGTTTAGGCAATGCTTTGGTGGTCAGCTCATCAGTTGCAGAACGCAAACCATATGGGCAGCTCATTCGCCTGATCTAAATCCCCCAAATTTTTATCTTTGAGGATTTCTCAAAGCCAATGTGTATACTGACAGGCCCCTAACAATCTTAAGAGGGCAATAACTTCCCCAATATTTACCACCCACATTAATGTGTATAGGTAAGGGTCATTAACAACTTTGTTCGCATGATTCGTTTGTGCATAGAGAGGAGAAGTGCCCACTTTGAGCATGTTTTGTAAAGGACTGTAGTTTTTGACAAAATAAACAGATTATCATCAAACTTTCAGAACAAAATTCACATTGAATGAACTAAATAATTCTTAAATTTCAAAGCAAAATATGCAAAATTGACCGAGTTATTCAACTTTCTGTTTAGTGTGATTCTAGGGTAGGTGATTTTTGCATGGTATTTCCCCTTTAACAAAATGTAATCAGGTTGCTCAGTTTCCCAAGGATAACTTACACTAAGAAAGATACTTCTCATCAAAAAAATGAAATCAAAAAATGGTCGAACAATTCACGTTTACTTACACATGCAATGTTAATCCAATCAGCATCAACTATAGTCCAGCATCGTGAGCATAAACTAGAAAAGTTCGAAAACACCATTGTAAATTCCAGATATGTTTTATATCTCCATTATTTTAGTTTGTATATGAAATACCTACAATGGCACGATGTCTTTGAACCTTGTATATCCTAAAGGAAGCTAATTGTTTTCGTATTCATGATAAGAGAAAAAATGTAAATTCCGTATTCATATGTTGATGCTGTTGGATAGCATGATTTTCGTAATGGCTTTACTGCCCATATACACGTACAAAGTCTTTCAATAAATTCACGGAAAGGGCACTTAAGTTTCAAGTTTTTCACATTGATTTCTTAGAGCAGTGCTTTGGAGATCTCCTGTGGGAGATTATGCTATTATGGTACAGGACCGTATTAAAGTGTGAATCAAAATGTTGTTGCTATGGTTACATCAGTCTGACATGCAGGGTTTCGTCTATATTTTCACTCTGCTACACTCTTAAACTATTACGATTTAAAAAATAGATAATAATATACACTCCGTAGGGTATTGTCGTCTGTAGGTTTACATGGGATCAAACGATTCTAGTGAGATTTCTTGAAGAATTATCATTTATAATTGAATTTCTCACAATCGTAACAATGTTGCTGAGAGTGTTCATTTGATTCTTTACTTGGATAACGCACTTATCCTTCAAGAAGCAACCCTCTCAAAGACACTCAAAAAGAGACAGTATTTAGTGCTTTGGAAAGAATTCCTTGGAGTAACACTTGAAGACGGCACCTGGCACAATTAACAACAATAGCGGCATCGCCTTGTGCTGTAGCATTAGTTTGATTAGTGCAAATACTCATTTGATTTCTGGTACCCAATAAATGGCTATTTGTTTGGTGATCTTCTCAACATAGCCCTTCACTCACTTCTCTTTAGAAACATTATTTCGAGTGATTCAATTATCTAATGTTTTTGAATGGTTTGCTAATAGCACGTCACTGTGCTTTATCCTCCTTGATCTGATTCACAGTCAAAAATTACAGGTATAGGTAGACTTGGTCGTACCTTGAAGAACATATGGAACAAATTACATCTTCTAAGAACACAGCGAAGCGCCAGATTTCTTAGAGCAGACTTATCCGGGGAACAGACTCGATCGTGAATCCTTATATGAGACCATCTTCATGAAGTCAACAATGATCCCAATCACATTAACGAAACTTGTCACGAGAAAATGAAACTGTCACATATTAACATTTTTTGTTTTGTTTTTCATTCTCTAGACAAAACGTCAAAAAGCTCTAAATACATTTACTTGTACTTCCATGGTCAACTTCAAACATAAAATAAGTAGCTCGATATAGCTACGACTACTGAGCTGGAGTCAAATTCTTTAAACGATAGCTGAGTATCGGTATCTCAATGGTATTTCAATACCTATGATAAATGGAATATCGTTTATAATGAGTCAAATGGACCAGGACTGTATCATTTGGCACTTGCATAGCCAAATTGAAATTACGCAAAGTATGAATATGCTGAAATATCATAATTAGATTTTTACACTTTTACTTCAGTCAATGTCATTCGAGCCATTTGATCTGTGCAATGCTATTCTGTTTTGCGTAATCGTGTAATTACATGTTAAAAACTTCTAAAAACAGTTCTCATATAGTACTTTCATACCAAGTAATATGCCCGATACTTTAGATCAATCAGTCCATCAAACGGTTTGATTTGAAACGCAGACAAGACTTTACAGACAAGATTTTACAACGGAAAATTCAAAATGACCGCCTTGCCCAGAATGCCCAACAGCTAATCAATTCCTATCATACAACACGGTCCACATCCCGCTCCGTATGATATGGTCCGTTCGTGTGCTAGAATACGATCCCTTCGTGAGACAAAGAGGCCAAAATTGACAAAATGTCAGGAAAAAGAAGGAAACAGAGCGAATTTTGATATTTTTTGAATGGTTAACTATAGGCAACATAATTACCTATGAATTCATGAAGAAAGCAAGAAAAAAATATTATGGCTTCATAGGTGAAAATAGGTCGAACATAGACTTTTCACGACAGAATACACTTCAATTGCAATAATTCTTTTATATTACCGTATACATATCTAATTTCGTGCAATTTATAAAGTACATGCATTAATGCGTGCGACTGATAAACAAACATGACGTAATACATCACAAAAGTACATGAAAATGTGGTTTAAAACTCGAATAGAAGGATCCGACCCTACCACAGCTAGGATTCGACCAAGTCGTGTGAGGATAATTTGGGGACTCCGACCATGTCCTGTTAATAGTTCCATCTTTTCGTGTTCTTTGCACGACTAATTAATGCCCCAGTGCTAAGATTGATCTCTGAATGGAAAAGGTTATCTCCAGTCTATTCCCACGATCTCTTTGTTCAAAAGTAAAATCAAAAACAAATCTTGAAAGTTTAATGACTTCAATACAACTTCTAAACTCAATCTTTCTCGAAAACAAGAAATTACCTTGAACAGAATTAGATGCGGACTCTAATTTGAATCACAAAAGATTGCTCATGATTTCCCTAACACAGCTAATTAAATCTAATTGTCTGTGGTAAGAGTACAACTCCTAAACACTCGATTCTGCAATGTAAGCGCCATTCAACCCAAAGAAAAAACCTTTAAGAAACCCTTGAGCAGCAAAATCTTGAGACCCATCTAATTGAACAAGACAAAACTGAATTTTTAATTTTCAAAAACTCATTTTCAATTGAACAGGATTCTCGATTAAAAGGAAGGCTCGTTGATTTTATTCTTAGCTTGGCCTAACCCATTTTATTCTGACATACTTTTCACCATTAAGTTAGCACAATTGTATGTATAACTCACTCAATTAATTTGATTTATGTTCATTCCAAAACGCTAGCCTGTAATGCACATTGCGCTAGGCAGCGACCTGTGTAACTTTTTTACTGCAATATAATTTGAAATAAATGTATAATGAACTGAAAAAATCTTTTCGTGTGAAAAAATTCGACCAATTCGTGTTTTACGTATACAAAAAATATATTCAAATTGACATGCATATATACGATCATTGTATCATATAATTTATTTTTGTATATGCCATCCGTTTCAACATGAACTGGTCTGTTTGGACGACTGGATAATTCATGAGAATAAGTTGGCTTTTGGGGTGTGGATATCGATGGTAGTTCATTTTTATTTTCGTCTAAATAAGTGTCTGTTACATTTTGTATCGGCACTTTTAACGACATCTAGAAAAGATAAACAACCATAATTAGCTATTTAATACACTGACTCTAGTGTAATAGATATATTAACTTCCATGGATTTAGTATGGTAACTTTAAAATATGTTCATGGTATCTATTGGTTCAAAACACGACAATATGGAGCTCAAAACAAGGTAGGGTCGGAAATGAAACACGGTAGGATCGTAAGAGAAACGCGCGTGGGTCGGATCCATTCTAAAAATTTAACCTGCAGAGTCGGATCCTCGTCTAATTTGCTTTTGACCATTTTAAAATTAGTATATACCAAGAAACATTCAATTGGTGTTATTTCGTCGATCAATATATACAAAGGCTTCATTTGATTTACATAATATACCACAATGTAGTATATTTGACACGTAAATGACGATAAGGAAGCAGAAACTCACTCTCTCCGCATGTATGTCGTCACCACAAATAAATCCAATGTTTTTGAGCATTCAAATACTTAGACAACTTTTTTCAATTTAATATTCATATATTTATCAATTTAAATCGCGCAGTATAAATGTAAACTCAAAGAATACTCTAATAATAAAACTCACCTCCGAATTTCCTCCCTATAGAGGCGGTATGGTCGGATCCTGTGCACACGAACGGACCATATCATACGGAGCGGGATGTGGACCGTGATTATTTCGGGGCCCTTTTGTTATTTAAAAAATTGATCCTTCGAATAAGAAACTAAATCTCCTGATCAGATTCCTATTATGAATTAAAGATTATATGTTATACGAGAGCTGTACAATAATTATGAGGAAATTATTTTGATTGATTAAGTCGTATTTATCTCATTGACTGATGAAGGAATCGGTACTAGATAAAAACTGCAGATCTGGCATCTCAATTGAATATTGTCATTTGAAAGGTAAACAATGGTCGTAACTGTACTGAATTGCTTCGTTTTTATTAAATTCATAAATGTCACTCTATATCAATATCAAATTAAAGATCACGGGTCATTGTCGTTATTGGTCGACAATATACTCCGGTTTCATTTGTAGTTAATCTTAGGCAATTACTGGAAATATGAGTTTTCTACAGCCGCTAATTGATGGGTAGCCTCGGACTTTATATAATTAATTATACATATTATTTTCTCCATGAACTCAGAAACATAATTATAGCATGATGATATTTACTTTGGTGCATTTAACTTATGATATCTAAAAGGAAACATCACGTTCCAATTGCTGCTTTCGCGGCATTGGAAGATATAAACTCTGTACGGGAGGCCATGAATGTTCATCTGGACCGATATTTCGGATAAAAGTCTTGAGACTCACCGTAGAAATTAAAACAGTTATATCTCCGAGTTATTTCTACGGTGACTCTACGGCCTGTAAAAAACTAGATAAACAGCACGGAGACCGTAAGACGACCGTAGATTTGCTACGATTGCCGTAGGAATTTGCCAATTTCAGGGAACTACGATCGACGTACGTCTGAGTCTTTATTGCACAAACAATTGCTTCTGCTAATCTCCAAACTTCAACTTATTTACAAACTACAGATATTCATTGATTACACCCAACGTTTTATGTAACCCTTGATATAAACTATATTTACTACATGTATGTAAAATAATTATTGATTCTGATCCTTGGAGAGATAAAGTATAGTTATCAAACTGTTCTTTTGAGGTTAAATAAGTGATTTATAAAAAAATGAATAAATAATAAAGAAACAAACCATCAGAACAAACTCTTAGACAAAGTATGAACATTACTATATCTTGAAATATATCAGTTCTTTGAATTAATAATGACTGTTTCCGGATATAAAGGATATCCCAAAAGTAAATGATGGGAATGTCCAAAAATGAACAGGACTGTGTGGCATTTCGTTCCTTTATGTTCGTGATCTATAGCAACCAGAATTGTAAAGTTTAAATATATTTCATGAAACGTGATCATTCTAAATGTTCTATTTCCATCGGCCAAAGCCAGAAATGACGGCAATGACGCCACAAGGGCCGTGTATAGGGAATTGTACGTAGGCTTTTGGTTTATTGCGCATATTCGCCCTTCGCCCAGGATATATATTGGTCTTGTTTTTCAATCATTTTATTTTGCCTAGGGTTTACAGTTCTTACACTATTGGCCCCACTATTATACCCCCTTGGGTCCTACGTGTGAAATTTTGAGGTGTCATGCAAGAACCCCACACATAATTTTGTCGCCAACTTCTATTTAAGATTTTAGTGCTATCCCATTTATTCATCACCTTATATCTTCATGAAATTCAGCATACTTGAACATATTTCCAACACTCATTTAAGAGTTTAATGCTAATATGAACTGAATTTGCAAAATACAAAGTGGAATTTTCATAATAGAATAACTTCAAATATTACCAGGTTCAACTACAGAGTAGTAACAGTACATTTACTTCACTAATGTATTATACAACTTGCAAAACTAAAACATTCATGAATACAGTTAAAAATGCTAAAAAGCCTAATTTGAGACCATTTTGTAAAATGAGATACAATGATAAGAGATACAATGATAAGAATATCACATTTTGTAACTTAGATATAAATATTTTTACGATCTCTGTAAATTTCATAGCGTAATAAGATCATTTGGCAATGTTACAGATGTTTTAAAATGGAATGTCGGTGGTACCCGGGGCAGAAAACAGGATAACTATACAAACTATGACGTAAAATCTTAAAATTATGTTTGGGGTACTAGTTATAAAAGTCTCTGAGTGTATCTCATGAATGTCCTGACATGTTGAAATAGAGTGGAGGGAAGAATCTTTTTTTTCTATAAATTATATAATTGAGAAGAGTATGTCTGTTGAGTAAGGCTATGTTCTCCAATTCCCTGTAGTTCTTTGGGCAACATAGAGGGGACAGTCAAGAAAATAATGTAGTGGTGTCCGAGTCTTGCATCGTCGGTTCCCACGCTCAATCACTACGTTCCATCTGCACATCTGAGGATAGGTCCGAAGCTTGATGAAGCAAGATGGTCTCTTGTGCGAAACCACAAGCACAATGTTTTAAATCTATGAGGTTGTAGGGGAAACGTTGATAGTTTAAGGCACTGAGGCCCATTCGGATTCTGATTCCATGATTGATTGGTCTTGTTGTGCGTCGTCTTATAACATGTTTACATTTCTTTCCTTCGTATTTGGGAGAACATATAATATTTCATTTTACAATACATTTAATATAGATATGGCAGGTTGAATTTCTTTTGAAAAGACCAATTAATACATCATTAGTCTAGATATTGTATAAAAAATATGTAAACATTGATAACGTTTAGTCGTTTTGACCGCACGTTAAATTTTACATAAATACGTTATTCGTATATAAGATAAAAAATGCTACGTTGATGAATTAAATATGGAAGTTGAAGGAATATTCATTTTTACAGCATGGACAGATATTAATGTGGCATTCATTGATTATCAATTAAATTATTGCTAGACCTAGCAATATAATCTTTTGTCCAGTTTACTAAATGAGATGCATTTAACAATTTAATGTGCTTATAAAACATTTTTATTTTCATCTAATGCAAAGACATGGCATTGTTTTGATCATTTAGCCTTATTCATAATTGTTCATTATTTTATCTCGCTAGTGAATAACTTTGGTCTGCTTGTGAATCGTCTTAACGTGCTTGTTAATTGTAACTGAGTCTAGCCCCATCTTTTTGTAAGCAACTTTGGCAGATTGGACAACGTTAGCCAGGGAAGTGGAATGCATCGTAGAATTCTGCCCAGTGCAGTCGACATCCCATACAGGCACACGTCCTATGACCGGAACGTTGGTATCACTACAGCAGAGACGATCGCCGGTTATGTCCGGTACAAAAGTGGCCATTTCCAAATCACAGGCCCCTGCCTGGTAGAATGTATTTATCCGTCTGCCTGGCGGTAAAATTGGATAGAAATGACGCTCGCAGAATAATTGACCCAAGGTTTTATCTCGTCCTTCTACGACAACGACGTTAAAGAGCCCTGACCCCCAGAATGCCCTGGCGTCAGACTTGCAGTCACGTGGACATTGTCTCAACAAATCCCAGCAGGTTTCACATCCTGCAGGTGCTTGTTCCACTCTATTAGGGAAATCATGCAAGACACGACCAAGCTCTTCCTCCCCTGCAGTTTCGTTGTTTTCTATTCGAAACTTGCAATAACATATCTCGGTGCCGTTCTGGGTCGGTAACGTCGGACTTGGCGTAGTCTTGGGGGCATCTGTCACTTTAGCCGCTGCAATTGGAAACAATCAATGAACAAGTGTTACAACGCATGATATGAACTGATAAACTGATACATGTATCTCAAGTGTGGCCCCGTCTTACCCATTGGTTCCCTGCTCCAAGTATTCATTGCTACTTACCTATATTATCCAACGACATTCCAAGGGGATACCCATAACCGTTCGTGGAACAGTGCCCTGATAACATCGCTAAATGTTTCACATTCACATCGGTATGTCTGATAGAATTGGTCATAGCACCGGCATTGAAACTGGTGAAGGCGTAATCAGAGCCTGGAACGTCTCTCCAAACAGCGCCAGTTTCTGTAATGTTTTCACCATTGAATAGCATTCCTACCGTCTTGTCCTTGTTTACTACAACACTAACGTAGTTTGTGTATTCTTTATCGTCGAATGTATCAGGGGCTTGGAATTGGTCACTCTGCACAAACTGTGAAACGCTAGGGACAATGGACATGAAGGGACCAGAACCACCCTGGTTATTGTCTGCGAGTCGACCTTTGTTGTATTGTACAACCATGCACCTTCTTGAGCACTTGATGAAGTGAGCAATATCAGATGGGATGTCAAATTCCGCGAAGCCTCCCTGAACTAGCGTCTGTGTGAAGCCGTTAGGTTGAGAAACAATGGTTCCATCTTCCGCAGCGATTACCCTGATGATGTCGCCCCCGTAGCGCCCCGGTACAGGCACAACCACATGATCATAGCCCCAAGTTTGAACTGGAGGAATTTGTTCTTCTAAGTGGCCAAAGTAATTTACATTAGCGGGTACTTGTGTATATTCTGCTCCTGAGAAGACCGCCACTGGACGGTTGGAGTATACAATTGTACCTGTGAGATCACTTTCGGCTGCGTAAAGATATGTCTGCAAGTCATTCAATCTCACTTCCAAGGCATTATCGTAGTCATAGTCCTGACCAACCTTTCTTGCAAACCAAACGGTCGTGTCGTCAGCTGTGGCGACTACAGCAATCGTTGAGTCGTAGATGCTGAATGGAGCATAACAGGGCACGATATACTGTGTTCCGAGAAGGGCGTGGGGTAAGGCGAGGAAAGAATCGGCTCCGTCTGTAATCGTATTGAAGCCAGACACGGTGATGTTGACATCAGATCTTATACGGATCCCCTTGTTCTCTGTACCATTTATTAATCTTATGAAGTTGGGCATATCTACACGGACAAACGTTTCTGGAATTAACGTAAAGTTCATCGTATCGCCAGTGAATGGACTGTACACCTCGACGCTAGCAACTGCTTCCGATGTGATAAAAATTTCTGTCTCCCCGGTAGTGGAAAACTCAGGCTGGGTCAGGAAGGCAATGGAAAATGTTGTCCCTTTGTTGGTATTCCCAACTTCTAAAATATGAATAACAACTCCAATTATAATTTGGCACCGATAAGAAACTGCGATCAGAAGCAAAACATGAGTAGCGTTATCATTGGAAAGACGTGGGTCAATCAAATACGTCATTTATTTTAGCCTTTTGGGAACTCAAATGAGACTCTATCTTGTAGACGAAGTGGTACCGAGAAAAGCGGATTTTACCGGAGAGTGCTGTTTGATCCCTATACCACCATACAATAAATTACCTGGATTACTGGTGAAATTCTCTCTCTCACTTTCACCAAATACATTATAGAGAAGCCTGAAGCCAATGAAGTTTGTGTCCCCGTCAGTACTGAAGTGGAGCCTGAATGTGTCTCCGACCACCTCATCTACAAGATAAAGTTCAAAGCACAAATAAATTATTTTGACCGGAAAGCAAAGCAGTGTACAAGGAAACAAACCCCAGTATCCTAACCTTTTATAAAACGCTCATAACAATAATTAAAAAGAGACAACGCATACGAGTTTACGTACAAGAAAATAATTATTTCTAAATGAATTAAATAAATGTACTAACTTGAGTCAGAATGATGCACATGCCATTTTTCATTCACTCTTTTACTACTAATCTTGTGCATATATTTATTTTATTCCATAATACTACTGTTTTATCCCTCTTAAAATCATATATACTCGAAAAATCATATTGTCCCTGAAAAAAAATCATATATACTCGAAAAATCATATTGTCCCTATTTTTTCGAAAAAAGGTTCATTTTTTCAAAAAAAAATCATTTTTTCTAATTTTTCATTTTTTTCAAAAAATTGTTTTTCCCATTTTTCCAATTTTCGAAAAATTATTTTTTTCAGAAATTTTCATTTTTTCAAAAAATTGCAATTTTTCAAAGATTTTCATTTATTTCAAATATTTTCATTTTCGAATCATTTTTTCAAACATTTTCATTTTTTCAAAACTTCATTTTTTTTCAAAAATTTTCATTTTTTTCAAAAATTTTCATTTTTTCAAAAATTTTCATTTTTCCCAGAAAATTCATTTTTTCAATTTTTTCAATATTTCTTTTTCCTTGAATTCTCAAAAATTAAATGATTGAATAAAATTCATATTGAAAATCAAGCATGAAATAACCTATATGTATCATTTTTATGCGTTCTCTTTGTATTTGAATACCACAAAAATCTGAGAATTCTCACATATATAGGTTTGTCCGATCTGCATAGCTGATGTGTCAGATCTACCGTTTCCATGGTACCGTTCACTTTGAGTTTGGGTATACAAAAAGTCATAATTTCTCTCCGTTCTGAACTCTTCCACAAAAAGCGTTACGAACTCTCCCGGCTTGAGACCCATGATGAGCATATCGCAGAGATGAGAGTCGGGGTAGGTGCCAGGATAATTGGTACTTGTAATTACTCCCTCTCGACCTTCGTAATACTTTGGACAATCGTGGGTGTCTGAAATCAAATGAATTCGACAATCGCCTTATTTCTAAAGAGAGTTGATATTGTTTTCACTGGGCAATGCACAGGATAACTCAACAAAATTCATCGCAATATATTATATAAAACCATAACCCAAGCCAAGCCACATAAATTAAACCCGGCCTATCTCAACTCAAGTCAACAAAGGTAACTCATTCATTTTTGGTCTGATTCGACCATATGCGTCATCTATTTATTCAAAAGTGATTTAAAAACATTTCTAGACAACTCGTACACCCCTGTAAAATAAAATAAAATAAAACAGACAAAAAGGCCAGACACATACTTTGGTGATGTAGTATAGAGTCATTTGAAGGTTGAACTTCCAATGAGTGAAACTTTGACCTCTTTAAAACGCAATTATAAAAAGAACCTCTCGATCATGATGAATGGTAATATCACACATTACATGTTTTTAAAAAAAAATCAAAGTTGCATATTGTATTTAGATAAAATGCGATCGAATATTTGTTTGCTCTTTATTTATTTAGTATATAAGCACTGATAAATCTGAAACATAGGATCAAATCCCGGATAAGGACTAATGTCAATCCACATTTTACATCAGCCATTAGCATATGTAGCATCGTCATGGTTACTCATCAATATCAAAAGATTAAACCATCACCATAATAGCTCAAGTAAATAAAACTAAAAATTGACTCAATGAGATATTTTAAGAAAATGAATCGACATGTGAGTCCTACTTGGTCCAAGTTCACAGTTTGGTCCCGAGCTTCCCAGACTACAAAGACAGGTGTAACCAGGCCCAGGTTCAACAACGTCGTAGCTGTGGCATCGTCCGTTACTGCATGATCTGCCGTCACACTCCTCTGTAAGGACATTTGACATGCAAATCAATAAAAAGTACTCAAGTCAGATCTTGGATAACATATATCACCCTTCTTGTAAAGGGAGAGTATATGTTTACAAATTAATTGCTGAAAATAGATGAATCGAATAAGAACAAAAAGACAATACTGATGTATGCGCTTTCTGATTGATCTGTGACTAGTTACCTGTTTTATTGTTTGAGCCATCCCCCGGTTCTATGAATATCTCCAACGCAAACCCTTGTGTTGGGGTGGTTGTCCGTGCGTCCAATGCCATAACGAACTCGTCATCGTATGTGCGGACTAAATAGGAGTAAATGAATAAGTTGAGCTACACGTGAGAAAACTTCCACTCGAAGTATTCTACAGCTCGTTCACAACCAGCTTGAGCCAGCTGATCTAAGCCATAAAGAATATATATATCTGTCAGATCGATCAACTTGGGCAAGCCACAAACAATGTTAAAAGTTTTGAAATATAGTTTCAAATGTATAGTATCCATACCCTATCTTAATGTGTAACATGATATAGGGTCTATTTCATAACCTGGACCATGGCAACCGAATTCAAAACATGTCTGATACTTATCCCGTTCCCGGACTATAGTCCTGCACTGAGCGCATTCATTTGCCTGTACGATTACAACTTGGGAGAATTATCTACGCCCCTTACACTTAAGATACCTACCTCAATGCATTATAGAACTCAAGATGTAACTTCTAATATATTGGAACCGCCGATTGTCTGGGTATATCGGCAGAACGGGAACATTTTCTCTTTTTCATCGAGAGAGATTACATCACTTTTCAAAATGGCGGTTGGATTTAAAAGGGGAATCCCCCGTTTGGCTGTCCCGGATGTAGCCCGGAAGTACCAATATGGAGGAATTTGACGGTTGAAATAAGTTAAATGTTACACGCAAATATTGCGATCAAAAACGAAAATGTCTTCGTTCTGCCGATAAACCCAGACAATTGTGGATTCAACTACACGAAAAGAATGCTAAATTACCAAGGAATCTATTGAAGTAGGTATCTGAAGTGTAAGATCAGTAAAAGATTCTCCCATGTTGTAATCGCACAGGCAAAAGATTGAGATGTTCACAGGACCATAGTCCGGGAACGGGATAATCTGATACCAGGTACATGATAACACTTACATGTGTAAGTCCTGCCAATTTGTAGGGCAGTGGGTTCAGATGAACCGTCCCCGTAGTAGATACGATTATTCAACCGAAACATATCCCGACTGAAGCGTTGATTGTAGAGCCTGAAGTTGCTGACGTACATGCGTACAACTTTCTGCGTTCCTCGTGGCTGGGTAAATAAAATCCTGTAGAGACATTGGGATTGGGCAGGATAGTTGTTTGGGTAGCCGGGACTCTCGAGTAGTATGATGTCATTGTCGGTGATATTCTGGCTACAAGCAGGAGCTGGAAATCATTCGTATCTAGATATTTTAACATTTTTGCACCCATCATGATAACATGCCAATTTCTCCATCCCAAGTTTGGACGATATCAGTGTTTTGGATTGAATAAATCTTGTGACATCACGTGCTGATGAATAAACTGTTGCAAAATATTTATTCCAGGTGGTATAAACTATCAATTTGCGTCCAACATTTCTTTATGCAAGTTTTCACACGGAAACATTTTCGCAGATTTAGAGTAGAATGACCCCCTATTGTTCCAAGACCACGTCTTCACGTAGAGATGAATGTCACATATTATCATCACTGATTTTTTTACCACTTGCCCAAATGGACGATTTTTGTACACAACAAGCTCCGAATGACAAAATGCTTGTCTCCGTCTCAATAAGCAATGTTATAACCTATTATTCTACATCAACATAACCAAAAGATGCAAGGAAAATTATTTTATCAATTAAAATAGCACATAGTGTGTAGTATTCGAAAAATAATTTATGAAAAATTTGCACGAAACTCAATTGAATCAGATAATGCATCCACAGGTGAATTTTATCTATATTTGAAGAATGTAAAGAAAACATGACTTACCTTGCGATAATGCTAACTGAAGCGTTGCCAAAGCAACACAAACTGAGAAAAGCATCATCTTCTAGCTTGAATCAAACAATGTGGAAAAGGATTGACTGATGCCTACGAAGACTTACAGAGTATTATCTTCTGGACGGTTATCACAAAGTACGTTTTAGACCTCTTCAAATTTACTAAATTGAACACAATGGGTGCTTTATCTTAAAACACACAAAAAGAGATGTGATAACATATACTTTTACAAAGAACGCCCTTCGTAGACAAGGTGAAACATATGATCTCTAAAACACTTTTAACAATGCACAACTCTCGTGACCCGTGATCATCATTAGTTCCTCGTCTAGTAATAACTTATTACTGTCATCTACTGATCTAGAGAATTATAGATCTCGAGTGAACCAACCTTGCAACCGTGTTCTGGAAAGGTTATCAAACGTAGAGAACTAACTCGTATCCACAACTATTTTTGATGTAACACTTTTTTACAGTATTAATTTTCATTTTTAAATTGCTCCTCGAAATGTATTTTGAATGAAAAGCCCCGAAGTATTGTCATCACACCAGTGAATGAAATGTCCCGTTGTATTGTAATGACGCCAGTATGAATAAAATGTCTCGTAGTATTGTAATGACACCAGTATGAATGAAATGTCTCGTAGTATTGTAATGACACCGGTATGATTGAAATGTCCCATAATATTGTAATGACACCAATATGAATGAAATGCCCCATAATATTGTAATGACACCAGGATGAATGAAATGCCCCATAGTATTGTAATGACACCAGTATGAATGAAATGCCCCATAGTATTGTAATGACACCAGTATAAATGAAATGTCCCATAATATTGTAATGACACCAGTATGAATGAAATGCCCCATAGTATTGTAATGACACCAGTATGAATGAAATGTCCCATAATATTGTAATGACACCAGTATGAATGAAATGTCTCGTAGTATTGTAATGCCACCAGTATGAATGAAATGCCCCATAGTATTGTAATGACACCAGTATAAATGAAATGTCCCATAATATTGTAATGACACCAGTATGAATGAAATGCCCCATAGTATTGTAATGACACCAGTATGAATGAAATGTCCCATAATATTGTAATGAAACCAGTATGAATGAAATGCCCCATAGTATTGTAATGACACCAGTATAAATGAAATGCCCCATAGTATTGTAATGACACCAGTATAAATGAAATGCCCCATAATATTGTAATGACACCAGTATGAATGAAATGCCCCATAGTATTGTAATGACACCAGTATGAATGAAATGTCCCATAATATTGTAATGACACCAGTATGAATGAAATGTCTCGTAGTATTGTAATGACACCAGTATGAATGAAATGCCCCATAGTATTGTAATGACACCAGTATAAATGAAATGTCCCATAATATTGTAATGATACCAGTATGAATGAAATGCCCCATTGTATTGTAATGACACCAGTATGAATGAAATGTCCCATAATATTGTAATGACACCAGTATGAATGAAATGCCCCATAGTATTGCAATGACAACAGAATGAATGAAATGTCCCATAGTAGTGTAAAGACACCAGTATGAATGGAATGTCCCATAGTAGTGTAAAGACACCAGTATGAATGGAATGTCCCATAGTATTGTAATGACACCAGTATGAATGAAATGTCCCTTAGTATTGTTATCACACCAGTTTGAATGAAAAGTCCATTAGTATTGTATTGACATCAGTTTGAATGAAATGTATCTTAGTATTGTAGTGACACTAGTATGAATGAAATGTCTCTTAGTATTGTAATGACACTAGTATGAATGAAATGTCCCTTATTATTATAATGGCACCAGTATGAATGAATTCTCCCATTGTATTGTAATGACACAAGTACATGACAATACTTGAATGACTGAAATGTCCCTTAGTATTGTTATGACACCAGTATGAATGAAATGCCCATTAGTATTGTAATGACACCAGTATGAATGAAATATTGTAGTGTATACTGTATGTATGTATTGAATGTAACTGCATGTAAATTGTTTTTATTTGATATTAAAATAAATAAAATAATTATAGAAGAAACAAAAGTTTTCATTAGTGGAACATACATTAACAGTTACCTTCCTCAGGATTTATAAAATGCTTCCAGTTTTAAGAGTGTCTTGTGTCACATTTATTTCTGCTTGGCATTTAACGATGTTCCATGCGTTCTATTGTCATGATTCAAGTATACTACTATGAGGGACATAGTAATAAAAAAATTATCATCTAAAATGTCGTTAAATACAAAAAGAATGTAACTATATGATATTATTGACATATGAATTGTGGTTTCACATTAAAATTGTGATCCTTGTAAGAGTAAATGAAATTTTGAAGGTTTTTTAACATTGTGTCATTGGGGGATTTAGCCCGACCATTTTTAGAAAACTTGAAAATCTCTAGAATTTGAATAAAAGTAAATAACAGGGCAAAAACTAAGTTGTTTTGATAGAAAATTAGACACAGAATTCAAATAGAAGAAAATATTAGTCTTTAGTGGTTAAAAATGCAGATCTCCTAAAATCTCATTAAAACGAGACCTTAACGAGATTTCAAAGCTATATGGAGAAGCCACTATTAGATAGATGCCTTCATTAGGCTATTCTCTGTACTTGTGTCCGTGCCTAATTTTGAGTAGCGAGTGTAAATTCTTTTCGGAAACATGATTATGTTTTCTCTGTAATATGAATTGGAGATAACTGACAAAATATAGATAGCCTAAAATATAAATTTTGTGTTTTTGAACATGCGGAAATTCGATAAATTGCGTTATTTTTCGATAATTTACGAGACTTTCAGTCACGTGATATATTTGTACGATGTAGAATAGCTGCGTGGCCATTTTGCAAATCTCGAAGTCACGTGACAAAATATCGAACAACAACACAAGTTATCGAATATTACTTTATTGCATTCGGTAAATAGCAAATTAGCTTTCGGTAAAATGGATTAACTATGTCATAGAAAATAAACCATTTGGTAAATATAGGCAAACTTATTTCGGTAGGGTTCAAATAGAAATTCAATATTGTGCATATAATGTCAGTGTTACTCTTAAGGAATACCATAACAATTTACGCAAAAATATCATTTAACGAATGAAATATGTAATTTAATGCACATTGTATTAAGTGATTGGCTATTTTGAAAACTTAATTTGCTGTAACAAACATATAAACGTTTTTACCGAAGGGAAAAATGATTGAGTGAATATAAATGTTTCATATATCGAATATATTTGAAATTAATGAATAAAGAAGCAAAAATAATGCCATAGTAGACTGAGGTTACTTTGCGGTTGAACGTCGTGGGATACGGAGGTCCCGCGTTCGAGCCCCAGGTACGGAGTTGTTGATCATTGTCACTACGGGCACTCGGTCCGAAGGTCCAACCGTTTACCGGCCCTTGGCATGGGTTGGTTCTCTGGCCGCTCTTGCCGGAGACAGATTGTGAGACTGTGGTTGGTTCCTCCACTAACGTGCTTTGGTAAACTCCGGGAGTCATATAGTATGGTAGCGGGCCCCCACCAAGGGCAGTAGTGGAACGACGCGAATCGGTCCCAGTATGGTTGCCTTGCAACTGAAGAGACTCGAGGAAATCATGCCATTCGCAGTGACCCAGAAAAGACTTTTGCTTTTTAATTTGACGTTTTAATTCATTTATTTACATACCTTATTCATATTACTTTCCAGGCAGTTATGATTTTTATTGGTCAAATGAATAAACGAGACATATAGATACTATTAAATACATCTAGATAGTATCAAAACCATTCGATTTGTCGGGCATACATAAAATAACACTTGAAAACACAACACACATAGCTGCAGTAGCATTTGGCACAGTCGGTTCCCACGCTCTATCATTTTGTGCGGTCATCATAAGCCGGATAAGGAGGTACGGTTGCTTGGACCATGGGCTTTCAACAGAGTCAAGAAATTGGCATGGATACTTTGAGAAATTTTTTTAATAATCATTTATTTCAAATATATACTATACATACAATAATACAATAATAACGTTTGACAAGGTTACGAGTAACATTATTGTCAAACTGAAAACTTTAATGTAGTTACATTCATAATTTTTACTTTAAAAAGAAAGATTCATTATTTTATTTAAAATGGTCAAGTTGTGTGCTTAATGTGTAGAGTTTGGTTACGGGTCCAGTAGGTCTTTGGTGGATTGCAAAAATGACACACTTGCTTTGATTATTAAAATATTAGTATTATGATCAAAATCAGGGTGACCAAATAAAAGCATGTCTATTTTATCAGAAGAATTACAATCTAAAAATGCACTTAAGCAATCCGCCATATGGAGATCTCTAAGGAGTTGACATCTTGGGTTCATGTATAGAGGGCACTGTAGAAAAAAGTGTTTTGGTGTTTCATAGCGATGACCACAGGCACATTCTGGTGAAGGTACATTGTTAAAATTATGTGCAAAAAGCTGGCTTTTCAAATAAAGATCTACTCTGAGTCTATTAAATGAGACTTCATTTTTTCTTTTAACATTACTATAAGTTATGAAATTAGTACCATTGAAATTTTCAAAATGTGCCTTGATCCTACGTTTAAAAATTGAAATTCGCTCACAATTTCTTATATCATCAGGTAAAGTATTCCAAGTTTCAATTGCTGCATAGAAAGTAGATTTCTCAAACCTTTTACTTATATCTAAAGGAATATTGTATTCTCTGAAAGCTCTTAGAGTTCGAGTTGGAATATTTCTGCAACCATTGAAAACTTGACTTACATATGGTGCTATTAAATTATGTCTGCTTTTGAAAAGAAAAGTACATAAATGAGATTTTCTTCTATCTGGTAACTTTGTCCAATTTAAAATATCTAACACCTTCTCAGTGCTAGAGCCATGCAAAGCGCCAGTTATCAAACAAGCTGCATTATATTGAAGTCTGTTTAACTTCATCAAAGATAATTCAGGAGCACTAGAATATAAGATATCACCATAGTCAATTCGACTCAAAATGAAGGCATTATAAATGG